AGTGCTTTCCCCTACAATTTTATGGTCCAATCTACGCCGGATTTTGAGATAACGGGACTTTCGATTATTCAAACACTTAGAATAATTTGGAGAATTTCGCTTATAAGCGACTTAGAATATTTTACTGACTACGAGACTTGTAAAATTTTCAAGTTCACTGATCAAGGGACTTAGAAAAATTTGAAGAAATTTGGACTTAGAATAATTTTCAATAAATTTAGACTTAGAAAATTTTGTAAATTCCAAGTGAATCAATAACATTGCAAATGGAGACCTTTATATCAGAACAAGAAGTTACTTTAGAACTTATTAAAAAAATCGGAGTAAATTTCAGAAAATCCTCTAAGTCACGATTAAAGGTTGCTACAATTCAAGTGAAAGTTGAGACGTTAAATGAGTATTGGACGAAATTCAGAACAACACATTTTTCTATAGTGCAAATAGCTACTTCTGAGCAAAAATTAAAGCATAAATATTTCGCTATAGACATGTTTGGCATAGGAGAAGAGGAATATATCAACACAAAATCAGACATGTTAGAGAAAATAGAGGAGTTAAGTGAGAAAGCACCTGAGTCATTAGAGAAAAATATAACACATAACCAAACACAGGAAGTCAAGCTACCAAAAATTAATATACCCCAATTTTCTGGAAATTATCATGACTGGAGTACATTTAGAGATTTGTATACAACACTTATACATAACAATCATTCTTTATCCAAAGTTCAAAAGCTACATTATTTAAAATCAAGTATAACCGGTGAGGCAGAGCAATTATTAAGACAAATACAAATCACGGAAAGAAATTACGATGTTGCATGGGAGACTTTAAATAACAGATATAATAATCGAAGAATAATAGTTCAAACTATACTAAATCGACTTTTTAACCAAAGAAAACTATCCCAAAGTACAGCCAAAGGAATCAAGGATTTATTGGATACGACAGTCGAATGTCTTAACAGTTTAAAGAACAATGATGTGGAAACCACAAACTGGGACATCATAGTTATCCATTTGATAGTCAATAAGCTAGACGATGAATCACATAAGCAATGGGAAGAAGATGTTGGAGAGTTACCTATAGATATCTTACCCACTTTTGAGAGATTTACGAAATTCCTAGAGACAAGATTTAGAGTCTATGAGATGATGTGTACTACTTCAGTTAATGTGTCAAGAGAGAGAAACCTTTCAAAAACAAAATCATTTATTACAACTAATAATGCTCAACATTGTCCATTTTGCAGACAAGATCACCGCTTATCAGCGTGTACAGAATTTGCGAAATTAGATGTGAACAAACGAATTGAACATATACAGAACGCGAGATTATGTTTTAATTGTCTATCACCGAGTCACAGTGTCATACATTGTAGATCCAAAGCGTCCTGTCATGAGTGCAGAAAGAGACATCATACATTAATTCATCTAACCAGAACAGAAAGAGAGAGTGAGCCTAACAGGTCTGAAAATACAACCATAGAGACTCCAACTACATCTGAATCGAGAGTTATTCGATCACATCTTACAGTACAAGGAAAAACTGCATTGTTAGCAACTGCACTGGTTAACATCGAAACCAGTAAAGGACCTCAAACCTTAAGAGCTCTTATAGATCCATGTTCACAAGAGTCCTTTGTAAATGAAATAACTATGAAACGTTTACAATTACGCAGAAGAATAGTGGAAGGCGAGGTGAGTGGTGTAGATCAGATGACATCAAAAATCAAATATGCTACTGAGTTGGAGATCACTTCGAGACTTACAAATGCATTCAAAATTAATTGTACAGCATTTGTGGTCAAACAAATCACAGACTTTTTACCCACTTCAAGAGTCAATAATGAATCTTTCTCTCACATCCAACATTTAACTTTGGCAGATCCAACATACATGGAGCCAGGTACCATAGATTTACTTTTAGGAGTTAATGTATTTACTGAAATAATAATGAGTGGAGTAATTAAAGGAAGTGAAGGGTCACCGATCGCCCAACAAGCACAGTTTGGTTGGATAATATCTGGAAGAGGTATAAAAGAAAATATAACAAGGGGAATAGTAAGCATGCACTTAAACGTAAAACTAGAGAAAATGTTAGAGAAATTTTGGGAAGACGAGAATGTGGAGACTAGAACTAACACACCTTATACATTA